CAAGTGTGGGGAGTGTAGGAGGCAACTGATCAATGAGTCTCTCTCATCATTGATGTTTCTATCTCTCTCCTTCTCCCTTCCTCTCTAAATCAATAAAAATGTTTTTTTTAAATAATTATGCTAAATCTACTCTTCCTTTGCTTTATGGAAAAACAAAGTCTGAATGAGAGCACATCTGTTTACAACATGGTTTTCTGTATATTTACCCACTGTTGAGAACTACTGCTCAAAAAAGAAGACAAAAGAGATGCATTTCAAAATATGACTGCTCATTGACAATACCTCTGGCCACTTAAGAGCTCTGATGGCGATGTACAATGAGATGAATGTTGTTTTGTTACCTGCTAACACAACATTCATTCTGCAGCCCACGGACCAAGGAGTAATTTCCACATTCAAGTCTTATTTAAGAGATACATTTTGTAAAGCTAAAACTGTCACAAATAGATTCCTCTGATGGATCTGGGCAAAGTGAATTGAAAACCTCCCAGAAAAGATTCACCACTTTAGATGCCATTCAAAGCATTCATGATTCACAGGAAGAGATCGACATATCAGCATTAACAGGAGTTTGGAAGAAGGTGATCCCAACCCTCACGAGGGGTTCAAGACTTCAATGAAGGAAGTTGCTACAGATGTGACAGAAATAGCAAGAGAACTGAAATGAAAAATGGAGCCTGAATTGCTGCAATCTCATGATGAAATATTAGGATTTGCTTCTTATGCATGAGCAAAGAAAGTGGTTTCGTCCTCTTTGGGGGCAACAACCCAGAGGCGGTGTGGAGACGGGGATGGGAGTCATGAGGGCCACGTAAGTGGGCGCTGGGTGTGGGGTTCAGTCATCGACGGGTCTCCCAACCATGGCCACTAGGTCACCCTCTCGGTGTCCCTGGGGCAGCCCCTCCGTGGGAATGGCTGCTGTGCAGCTTCACCTTCCAGGTCCTGGCTCCGGAGCCCTGGGCACAGCCCAGCAGGATTCAGTGATTGTGGGAAAAGTGCAATAAAAATGTGAAATGTGGGCCCGGCAAAAAAAAAAAAAAAAAAGTGGTTTCTTGAGATGGAATCTATTCCTGGTGAAGATGCTGTGAAGATTGTTGAAATGACAAGAAAATATTTTGAATATTACATAAACTGAACTGATGAAGCAGCAGCAGGGAGTGAGAGAATTGCCTTTGGTTTTGAAAGAGCTTCTACTGGGAGTGAAATGCCATCAAACAGCACTGTATGCCACAGAGACATCATTCACGAAAGGAAGAGTCCGTTGACATGGCAAATTTCACTGTTGTCTTATTTTAAGAAATGCCACAGCCACCCCAATCTTCACCAAACACCAACCTGATCAATCAGCAGCCATCAACATCAGGACCAGCAAAAAGATTATGACTCGCTGAAGACTCAGATAATGGTTAGCATTGTTTTTTAGCAATAAAGCATTTTTTAATTGAGGTATGTACATTCTTATAGGCATAATGTTATTACACACTTAATAGACTATGTGATAGTGTAAAAATCACTTTTATCTTCACTGGGAAACTAAAACATTTATTTGACTCACTTTATTGTGATATTTACTTTATTGCAATGATCTAGAACCAAATTGGCAATATCTCCTGGGTATGTCTGTACTAGAATATGTATTATAGCCAGATTATACATCACTATGGACAGTTCTGCTCTTGAAAGTTACTGACTTTAGCTCTTATAGTTTTCTCAGCCACAACAAGTAGTCAAAAGTTTGGAGTAAATCATGGAAATGAAAGAGCCCCTACTGTTACAACAGCCCTCTTGTTGTTTGTTTCATTCTCTCACCCACATCAGGCATGCTCCATGAGCTGGAGTGTGCTCACCTGGCTAAATCAATTTCCAAAATTCCATTTTCTCCTGCTTATCGGAATTTATTATTAGTTTTTCCTAATCTTCAGAAAAGAAAACAAAATCTAAACTTTGTAATAATTTGTATTTGGACCACAGCAGAAAGCCCAGTTGACCTAAGCAGTAAACATGATTGAGATAAAATTTGTAAAAAATAGTCCTGGTTGGTATTAAATACTTTCTGTTGTCTCCTCTCCTAGATCAACAGGTCATTCGGTTGATGTTTGTATTCAGAAAGGAAAGATAGATTTTGATAGACTGAGAAGCAAAATAGATTCTCTTAATGTCTTGAAAATTTTATGAAATGGCTTCAACGAGCCACCGTGCATTTGTGTGACACTCAAGATACAAGTGCTTTGCCAAGGAAAGTGACACATTAACATTGTGAGTGAAATACAAATTTATTACAACCATAAAATCTAGCCTAAAGGCTTCATTCAGCAATAAACTAACTGTGACATGGAACCAAGCTTGAGGATTTTTATTTTGGTTTAAAGGCATCTACAGGCCCAACAGAAGAGTCTTCCTTTAATTAAGAAGAAGCAAGCATTGATCAGACTGTCAAATCTCAGAGGGACAGTAGAGGAGGGTGGGGGTGAGGGGGAGAGATCAACCAAAGGACTTGTGTGCGTGCATATAAGCCTAACCAATGGACACAGACACCAAGGGGGTTGAGGGCATGCTGCCTTAGTTTTCATGAGGCTGCTGGTGTGCTGAGACACTGATACTGTTAGTAGAGAGTCGTGGTAAACAGCTAAAAATGTGACCTAAGACTGTGTCTTGTGAAGTCGTGTAAATTGTCACGACACATATCTAATACCTTAATTAATAAAGAAATTTTAAAAAAGAGGAAGCAAAAAGATATGACCACCACCTCTATTTTTTTCTTACGTAGAGCTCAAGGTAAAAGTAGGTGTTTGAAAGTTAGACTCTTCCCAACAGGGTTAAATTTAACCAACAAATGGATGATAGTAAGGAGACATATAGGTGAGATAGATGAAGACACCTTTTGGAATGACCTGGAACAAACAGGTGATCACCCTGTTTCATGCTGTGGATTTGTCTGCAGGAATAACAGGGAAAAAAAGGCTTGTTTGCAATAAGTACATTGAGGCATGCTGACTGAAATTTGATATTGTTTGTTGGATGTCTCTACTTTTGTCTAAACTTCAGAAACTATTTCATTGCTCTGTGAGAAGAGCAGAAGGTCTTGAGTTCGGTGATTGGTTATTGTTTCGAAAAGGAAAGAAAATTACCTTTCATTTTCTCTCCTTGGCGTTAAGTCCCCAGTGGAGGTTCAGAGGACATTTCAAATCACAGCAACTGCATCAAGGAACTTTTAAGTCTGTTACTTCTGACTAAGGTTTTGCAATGTTCTCACCATCTTACCAAAAACTGCAAATAGAAGTCTACAAAAACAGTTTTTGCGAAAATGCTGGGATGTTTCCACTTGCTTTGAACTCCTAAGAAAACTCAGTTTCTTGCCTTTAAGGTTTTTATCAAAAGGAATTTTGAAGCCTGTGCTAGATGAAACCTTGGATTTTGCCACAAAGCAACACAGAATTTATGAAAACCTCATGCTGCATGCATCTCATTCTATAAAATTCAAATTATTAAATAGAGATATGGTCATTATGTGCCACATACTGTGCCAGGGGCTCAGCTACAACCTGGAACGAAAGAAAAACAGTTGTTGCGAGGATACTATCGCTTACAATCTAATGGAAGAGATCAAACTATCACAGTTTAGGTAGGTTAGGTGCTATAACAAATACCCAACATTTTTAATGGCGTAAAGAACTGAAATTTAATTCTCATTTACATGCAACTCCAGTGCCAATAGACGTCCCTAATCAGGACAGGGTGATGGATGGCCATGTTATTAACATTCTAGTATGAATATTAGTGGGGATGGGGAAGGGGGTTAGCCTGAGAGCTGTAGCTGAAGGGCCAGGCTTTTGCTACCCTTATAGATCTTTCTCCTCCAGGTCCTCATAGATATCTTCCTATAGTGAACATCAAATGGAGGAGCATGTATGAGATGAAGCGAGGCCTGCTAGTGCCATGATTTGAATCTAGCTGTATCGCATTGGGAAGAATTCAATCGCATACATACACATCTCTACAAAATATGGTCCAGCTCAGTAACAGGAAGTAAAAGGAAATAGTTTGGTGAATAACTGGCCAGTTTCTGTGATACAAAGTAATGTGATAATATGTGCTAATGTGATAAGGAAGTACACAGAGATGTTGCAGCATCTAAAAGCTACATCTAAGTGAAGTATGGAGGGGACAAGGTATAAGGAAAGCTTTCTTCATGAGATGATACTTTCTCTGGACTGACAGCA